ATAAACCCAAAACAAACAGAGGCAATAAAGAGCAGAAACCAATGAAACAGAAAAACAATAGAAAAAAATCAAAGAAACCAAAGCCTTGTTCTTTGGAAAGATCAAAGTTGAAAAATCTCCAGTAAGACTGACAAACTAGAAAAGAAAAAAGATATGAATTATTAATAGTGGGAATAAAATAGAGTATATCAATATAGTTATTATAGTTCTCAAAAATTAAGGAAATTAAATTCATGATTAAAATTTTTTCAAAAAAGAAATTTTCAGGTCCAGATGGTTTCATTGGAGAATGTAACCAACTGTTGAAAGAGAATTATTACCACTTCTACACAATCATTTTAAGAAACAGAATAAAAGGGAATACTTCCTAATTTACTTTTTAAATTTTAATTTATTTATTTTATTTATTTATTTATTTTGAGTAAGATTAGCCCTGGGCTAACATACACTGCCAGTCCTCCTCTTTTTTTTGCTGAGGAAGATTGCCCTGAGCTGATATCCATGCCCACCTGCCTCTACTTTATATGTGGGGCACAGCATGGCTTGATAAGCAGTGCATAGGTCTGCGCCTGGGATCTGAACCAGCGAACCGTGGGCTGCCGAAGTGGAGCTCGTGAACTTAACTATTACACCACTGGACCGGCCTCCTAATTTATTTTTTTGAAGTTAGTATTACCATGATACCAAACCAGAAAAAGTCCAAAAAAAAAAGATAGAAAGTAAACTACAGACCCTTATCTCTCATGGATATAGATGCAGATCTCCTTAGGAAAATATTTTCATATAGAATTTAGCAGCATATAAGAAGAATTATACAAAATGATCAAGTGGGGTTTATTCTGGACATGTAAGTCTGGCTTAATATTCAAAAATCAATCAATGTAATCCAGCACATTAACAGGCTAAAGAAGGAAATCACATGACCATACCAGTCAATGCACAAAAACATTCAATAAAATTCAGTATCCATTCATAACAACTCTCAGAAAAATAGAATGGAGGAAAACTTCCTCAACTTGATAAAGAATATTTACAAAAAATCTACAGTTAACATTATACTCAATGGTCAAAAGACTGAATTCTTTCTCCCAAGATCAGGAAGAAGGCAAGGATGTCTGCTCCTACCACTTTTATTCAACATAGTGCTTGAAGTTTCAGCCAATGCAATAAAGTGAGAAGAGGAAATAAAAATGCATAAATATTGGAAAGAAAGAAATAAAACGATTCCTATTTTCAGATGATATGATTATCTACATAGAAATTCTCAAGTAATCTAAAATCGAAAAAAATACTCCTAGAACAAACTCATTGTGAGTTCAGTAGTATAATGAGATACAGAACAAATATGCAAAAATCCATTGCATTTCTACATATTAGCAATGAGCATATGGACACTGAGGTTAAAAACACAATAGAATTTATAACTGCTGCACCAAAAGAGAGGTCAAAAATATAATTGTAAAAATCGAAGTTCAACAACAATAAATATACAAAGGAGGGGGGACCAGCCTAGTGGTGCAGCGGTTAAGTTTGCATGTTCCACTTCAGTGGCCTGGGGTCACTGGTTTGTATCTTGGGTGTGGACCTACACTGCTTGTCAAGCCATGCTGTTGCAGGTGTCCCACATATAAAGTAGAGGAAGATGGGCACAGATGTTAGCTCAGGGCCAGCCTTCCTCAAAAAAAAGAAAAGAAAAGAAAAGAAAAAATACAAAGGAGGAAAAATAATCAAACGATGTATGTACAGTGCCTTTTTGGAGAAAATTTTTAAACTTCCTTATAATCAAAATCACCACCATAAGCCTTTTTGAGGAACTTGATAAAATTAATACAAAATGTATCAGTACAACTGAACAAGAATAACAAAGACACTCATGATAAAATAAATATAAGAAGTTTTGCCTATCAGATATCAAAGTGATCTATAAAGCTATAACAATTAGGATAGTATGTTATTGGCTCAAAGCATTACAAGTTTATCAGTGGAACAAAATACAGAGCCAAGAAATAGTCACATATAGGTGTGCATACTTGGTATATGGCAGAAATGGTATTACTGAGCTATGAGAAATGATGGACTTCTCCAAAAGTTTAGACTGGTAAAATTGATTTTCTTTGTGAAAAAAAAAAGGCTGGGTGAAATATGGACATAATGTGAAAGGAAAAACTGGGAGGAAAAAAACACACAAGAAAACAAAACCCACAACTTTTCTTTTGGGTTTTTGAGGAAGATTAGCCCTGAGCTAACTGCTGCCAATCCTCCTCTTTTTGCTGAGGGAGACTGGCCCTGAGCTAACATCCATGCCCATCTTCCTCTACTTTCTATATGGGACACCTACCACAGCATGGCTTTTGCCAAGTGGTGCCATGTCCACACCCAGGATCCGAACCCCGGGCTGCCAAAGCTGAATGCGCGAACTTAACCGCTGCGCCACTGGGCCGGCCCCAAACCCACAACTTTTGAGAAGGCAACATAAAAACTCTCTCTTATCATCTCAGTATAAGGAGCATATGTCGATCAATAAATTTTAAAATGTTAACACTGACAGAAGATTCAATTACGCTAAACTTAAGAAACTTGGTTTATCAAAAATGCCACAGAGAGAAAATTTAAAAAAATTTTCCGAGAGAAGGTATTTGCAACACATATAATTGACAAACAATCTGGGTCAACAAAATGTGAAGAATATCTATAAAGGGCAAACCTATAAAAAATGGACAAAGACATGAATTGACTTCCTCTACGAGATATTATTTCAAATCCAGCAGATTGACAAAAACAAAGTGTGACCGTCAAGTTTAGCAAAAATGTGGAACAAGGAATCACTTCTAGCATGGACATTCCAATACCCTTGGCAGAGGGTAGAGTGCTTTTCTGAATGAAAAAAGTAAGACTGGGAAAGAGAGGGTGTGGCCAAATCATGTACGGCTTTGAATTACATTGGACAGTATCCAAAGGCAGTGAGGGGCAATTCAAGTCCATTAAAAAGAAAAGTAACACATCTGTTTTATGTCTTACCAAGAAAACTGGAGGTAGCTTAAAGGATAGATTAGAGTAAGAAAAGAGGCAACAGTTAGCATCAAAGTAAATAGTAGATGTTTAAAAATGGAGAAAATAAGAATTGTTAGTATAAAAGCAGTATTGTTTCTCTAAATTGAGTCTTGACATAGTTACAAGTATTTTATTACTAATTATAAAATTACATTATTATGTAACATGAGTAAGGAAAAATCCCTGAAGCAGTTTTTAATCGTGTTCTTGTTTTCCCAAAATAAATTATTTGATTAGAGCCTTGTTACTAATTTAAGAACTTTTAATTGATAACTTATGGCCTAAAGGACTTTTTACCCAAGTACATAATAGTGTAATTAGTAATAATTTAATGATTCAAGTGACAATTTTCTAAGTTATTGCATTTAATGTTTCGTAGACTAAGCCTATTATACTTTACATTATTTTTAAATTTTACTTTGAAACTATGAGCCATTTGCTCTTAACTATAAAGCTCTATAAGATGAATCCCCTATCCAGATAGACTCCATGAGTATAGGAAAAAAATATAATGGATTCCTTTTATTTTCATTAATCCTAAAATTCAATACAGTTATTTCCTCTAATTAAATAATATTCATGTGCTTTTATATTTCATAGGAATCCCATTTAATTATGAGATTTTCGCAATATATTGGAGACTGTATGAAAAGACCATTGAATAAAGCAAAGAAAGCAAACTATTAGGAATTCTTATCTCCATATTTCTATTTTTTCCATTTAACCATGTTAAGCATTTCACCCTATTAAGCATTTTGATTAAGTCCTTTGGCTTATTGTTTGATAGCCCCAAGAAGACTATTGGAGTTAGAGAAATCACATTTTCATTGACTGTGTCCAAGGCTAGGGGAATGGTGAAGAGGAGCCGAAACTGAAGCAGACATGACTTCCATGTCATTGACCATCCCTCGACCAATACCTAGCTGAGGCATAGGGTCATCATGATTGTGTCAGGCAAACCATGACATGTCCCTTGGAATCAGACACCTAACCTCACAGACGAAATTGATAGGGTGGAAGAATAAAGAATGATCAGTTATCTGTAGTAGAAATGATGTTTGCACGTGGGAGGAAGGGCAAGTATCATTTCTTGTCTCTTACTATGTTATAAACTTTCTATACATTAGAGGAGAAAAAGAGGGCAAATCTGGTTCTTAATAAATAATATTCCTCCTATATGTTTTGTTTCTTCTATTATCTTTAAATGCTAACATCTTTAACATCTTTAATATATTTAAATGTTAATTCATTTAAAAAGCTGAATTCAATAAACACAACATTTGAAAAAGGATGTTGAAAGAGCAGAAAGCATGTGCAACATTTCAAAAGTTTCTGCATTCTCAATTAATTTAGTCATGCTTTAGGATGCATAGGTACTTGCAGAATATGGGTGCAGGTACAAGTGAAAAGTTTCAAGAAAATATGCATAAGAGAGACGCACATCTATTGAGGGGAACAGAGTTTCCAAAGTCTGAATTTTAATACAAAGACGTATAATGAGAAATAAATTTGGAAATATTAGCATGAACTTAGAACAATCACTAAAGCATTTTTGTGTGTTGTATTTATTGTCTCCTTTCTGATTTTTAGGTATAAAGGGAGAATTTATACCCCTTGTACGTCTCAGCTCATAGCACATCACATTCATATGTCCATTCAAAGCTATCCCTTTTGTGTTTTATCTTACTTTGTTTTATGTTATTCCATTCCATTTTATTGCACTGCATTTTATTTCATCTTTTCTTCTGTTCTGCTTGCCTGCATCCTTCCATCCCAATATTCACTTACTCGTCTTGTTTAATACGTGTGAAATAGGCATGAAACCTTATCAAATATCCAGTGTTGTTGAGTGTGTGTTTTAATTTACAGACATTATATTTAAATATAAATCATATTATTTTACTCCTCTTTCATTCCCAACACCAATGTTTTGAGATATATACATGCTTCTTTATATGTTTCTAGGTTGTTACTTCTTACTGCTCAGAAATATCCCACTCACCACATTTTACTTAGGCATTCTCCATGGAATGCTCAGTTGCTGTTGTCCTACCTTCCGGATCACGTGTGCTTGCTTCTTGTTAGAGGAATCCAAACAGGAACTATTAATGGGATAAATTTTGGAAAATGTATTCCCATACTCCATCTTCTGTGATATAGGGGAGAATACAGAAGAGAGTGGAGATTACAATTCATTTCCAAAAAACAATATCTAGCATATCAGGTTTTAGCATGCAAACTTAGATAAATGTTGTTTTATTGAAGTCGACGAATGGTTGGTCATTTTATATACTGTTGGTAGGGCCTAAAATTCATCTCCCTATGTCCTTGCCATGTACTTGAAATGATATACATTTCTGTCATTTTTACGTAGATGAAAACCAAGATAATACAATTGTTTTTTATCTGCATTTCTCTTATTTCTAGTAAGTCAGAGTATCTATTCATATGCTTGTTAGCCATTCAGCTTATATTTCTAACTACTCATTAATATGTATTGATTATCTTCTAATGATTTTCCTAATTATTTTTATTTAATTTAGATGTTAGTGTTTTCTAGATATTCATCCCTTGGCTATTTTAGATGGCATATGTATTTACTCTCAGTCACATTTGTCTCTTAACATTAATTAACATCTATTGAAGAGAAATCATTAGTAACGTTAAGGTTTATAACTTTTGTTAAAAAATTACTTCCCTAGCCTTTGTAAATAGTTACCCACATTTTCTTCAATTAGCTCATAATGTTTACATTTAAGAAGCTTTCATTAATGTGTTGCTTGATATTATGAATTTGAATAAAACGCAAATGAAAATTGGCTCCTTACTCTGCCCAGAAACAATGTGACTGTCTATTTATGCAACTGAATTTGTCGACATCCTTTATAGCTTCATGGTAGAGTTTTACTGTATTTTCCTAAAGTTCTGATCTTTGCTTATAAATTTATTTAAAGTTTGTTTAATGTTGTTTGAACTCTTTGCTTATTAATCTAGAAATGAATCTGCTGGGCTGCATCCCTGACAAAACTGATGGTCCCTTCTCTGCATTCTCTCCTTTCCTTCTTTTGTTAATCCATAGAAGAGAGAAATAGGAAATACCCATCAAACTTCTTTTGGCTGGAGGAGAGTAACTTGATGATGGAGGTATGAGCTAAAAATAAACTCCTCCCAAGTGGTCAGAAATAGAGATGCCAGGTCAAGTCTTGGTACTACCAGTAAAACACCCCTTCCATCCCCACTCCTTCATGAATACAGCATGTTAGGTTTAGGTGAGAGACCCAGTTACTGCTTAAAAATAGCTGCTTTCTTAATTATATGCTGATTGACCTCTCAGAATGGCTATGAATCCAGAATAAAGTAAAAATATTACTGTAAAAAGAGTTGAAACCACAACGATGTGTTTTATTCCATGAATAGAAGTCAAATTGAAATAATCTTTTATTTTATATTTTAGAATTCATTATTCTGCTTTCACAACGAAAACAAAAATTATAAGCCTCAGAGCCTTTTCACTTACCCACTCCACCCACTCCAGAAGGTTATGTTTCTGCCTGTTGAGCCCCTGGGCATCTGCTGTCCCCGTCGTTGGTAATGGTGGAGGAAGTAGAACTGGCAGAGCCAGAGGGTCTGCAGGTAGTCATATGATGAAGGTAGAGTTGCCATAAGAAGAGAAATTAAGTGAATAATGAGAAGATGACAAAAAAGCATGCACAAACTACAACAAACAGGAACATATGTGATCTGAGACTGAGGGTATTTGGAAAATGAGAGCTACTGAACGTGACTACTTGGCTTGTCAAACGTTGAAGAGGACTCGTGGAAAGGGGATGGGAGAGCGAGCTGGTAAAAGACAATATTACAAATGTCTGTGTCTTAAGAGATTTGCTCCTTTCATGCTCTACAGAGGCTTAAATACTTAAACTGCCTTTCAATTTTCTAAGCAAGTCTGGTGGTTATTTAATTATAAGCGCTCAGACTTGGCTGAGGGTAGCTCAAATTTATATGGGTCCATTTGATTCATTTTACCCTTAGAATAAAAATTTCTAAAAAGTAAATGTACCATCAGGTTAAATTCCCTTAACTTATTAAGATTGTGTGTATGCATGTGTGTCTGTGATTTTAGAAGACTTTTAATTTTAATGATAATTTCCCTACTGATTATATGAAATTCTGTGTTATATTGCTGAAGCATAAGCTTAATAAGTCATGAAAAAGGACTCTGTAGAAAATGCTAGCTGAACAAGGTTACTACTATTGAAGCCTGTATTCCTACAACCTAGGTAGCTAAATGTCTTCTGTACAGTGAATTTACGTTAGCTACTTAAATGGATATAGTGAAGAATCAAATCTAGATGTATAAAATATGGAGATAGTAATAAATGTTTTAAACTTATCAGCACAATTAGCTAAATTATTCTAATTTATAAAACTGACATTACCCAAAACTAGGAGTTTCTAAAAGGTGGTCCTAGGACTCTGGGGTCCCAAAGACCCTATCAGCAGGGACATGAAATCAAAGTATATTCATAACAAGGCTAAGATGGTATTTGCTTTTTTTACTTTCTCTCATGAGTGTACATTGGAGTTTTCCAGCAGATAATGGAATGATATGAAGTATGAAAAGTAAAATATATGGACCTTTAAGATAAAAAAAAAATGATTACTACTAAATTTCTTATACTCCATTTCTGGAGTCATTAGGGCATAGCACTTTTATTTCATGACCGTTTCAAGAGCTTTATTACAAAAAATAAATGCATAAAAATAATTAATTAACTACAAACCTTAAAGGTCATTAAGTAATCTTAAGAGTGTGACATAGAGACATTGTACAGAATAAGCGTGTTGTTAACTTTTGAAAATATATAAAACTAAATGTTGTTGCAAAACCAAGTTTCCCCAGTGTATACATAGGTTATGGAAAATAATAAGCTCATCACTGTGCCAATATGACACCAAATCAGTAAATCTATTTAGTGCTTATAATATAGTGTTACATTGATTTAATGATGCTATTAGTGATATTTGCAGTGATTGGACTGGCATAAACAATTAGTATTTCAGATACTGTTTCTTGGTAGAAAAAACACATACTTCCACTAATTGCCTCTAGTTCTGCTTCTATTAACTGCACACTTTGTACATGCTAATAATCTTATTATCAGCTGTTGCCGAGTTAATTAAAATTCATGTCTACAAGTATAAGCCAAAATAAAAATATGTATTCTGCTCAGCTTTTTATATATTAAATAAAACATTTTGGAAGACCAAATTTAAACATCCATCTCCAGAAAATGCAAGAAAATGAAAAAGATGCATATGCCAAATTAACTTATGACAAACTCGAAAGAAGTTGTAAAAATAATTTTGCATTCTCATTATAAGGTAATAGTTAAGAATCATGCCAGTCCATTCATTGGTATGGAAAATACCTGCTATGTTTTCAGTAAAGCATTGTTCATTCTTTGAGTACAGGAATGTTTCCCAAAAAGACTTTTTTGATTTGCCTTTTTTCCGAAACAGCTAGATATATTTTAATTTGTCCCACAGTTCCCCAAATCAACCTGAAGGTATTTACTTCTTTTGATGGCATTTTATTATTTTAGATTTTAGGAAATCATTTCTAAGTGAATGGTATAGATTACATGGAGGATTCTTTTGTTTGCTTATTAGAGGGAAATTATATATGATATTTGTATTTGTATCTAGCAATGGTGGTTTGAGTTTTAAAATTGTATTATTTAGGGGCAGACCCAATGGCATAGTGGTTAAATTTGTGCACTCCACTTTGGTGGCCCAGGGTTCACAGGTTCGGATCCTGAGAGTGGACCTACACATCACTCATCAAGCCACCTTGTGGCAGCATCCCACATACAATATAGAGTAAGACTGGCACAGATGTTAGCTCAGCAACGATCTTCCTCAACTTAAAAGAAAAGAGGAAGATTGGCAACAGATGTTAGCTCAGGGCCAACCTTCCTCACCAACTACATAAATAAATAAATAAAATAGAATTGTATTATTTATTATTCTAATCATTAATGACAAAGAATATACACTGGACAGTATTTTACAATTAAGAATGTCACAGTATATTTCAGTTACATTTGCTTGTGGCGTAAAGAAATAAAGATGTCAGGTATGACTAATCTAACTGGATTTTAGTCAAGGAAGATCACTTTAACTGGGACCAATCTAAATGAGTAAGTTTTCCTATGCCTTTAATTTGTTCCTTAAGCATTCAAGCTGCCTAGATTCGCTCAATTAGGAATTGACAAGTGTTGTGTTGCTATAAAATAATATACATGCTGCAGTAAGGGCTCTATATTATAGTGTCCTTTTTGTTTCAAGAAGAAATTCTTCTTAAAATGTAAGAGTTAAATGTAATGCATATATGTATATGTGCATATAAAAAATGTCTATATCTATTTTATATATTGATTAGGCACCAGAAATTGAATTCCTAAGATCTAATCTTCCTTCTAACAACAATAGCAACAACAGAAAGGAATGATAAGATGATATGTTTGAGAAGTATCTCCTTAGTGGAAAAAAAACCCCTCAAATTTATTACTACTATTGACCCCCAAGTTAAATCCAGCCAAATAAAGTAACACCAGGTGGAACTTTTTTTTTCAATCTTTCTCTGAATTTCTATTTCATCAAAACAAATATATCAAAATTTTGATGACCTTTTCATGCTATCCACTGCTTTTGAGGCACTTTTCATAATTGCAACATACCTGTGTATACTCCTAAACTCCTAGAAGCTAAATAAAAAATCAATTTTTCATTTTTATCTCCTTTCACTTTTCTGAACTTGATGCATTTATGCACGACCTGCTTCTTGACATTCTCTCCAGCTTTGGCTTCCCTGAACATATTTTCACTTGATTCTCCTCCTACATACACAATATTACCTTCTCAGTGTCCACTACTGGTTCTTATTCCTCTGACTCTAAAATGTGATGTTCCCCCAGGTCCCATTGTTGGCCTTGCCCTCTTCTCATGCCATCATTCTCAATAAGTAAATCTATTTATTCCACTTCTGTACCTGATTACAGTCAAAACAAGATTTATAACCTCTAAACACTGGTACTCAGATTTACTCAGCACAACTTCCTAATGGAATCTATGTCACTATCTACAAAACTGCACTCACAAATACCCGTTAAATACTGTATCTCAGCTAAACCCATTACTTTTGAGCAATTAGAGTTCCCTTTTTGTTCTGCTTAGCCCAACGGGTTCAGTATACTGTCTTGGTTACTTGTCTATATCTCCCAGTGAAATCTAAGATCTGAGAGGACAGAATCTATTTCTTATCTATTTTGTTCACCATGGTGTACCTAGTTGTGCTGCCCTAGAAGAAAAGAGTTGATGCAGTGTGACTTTTCTCTGTTACCCTCACCAAGCCTAATCAGTCTACAAGTCTTCTTGATTCCTATCCTAAAAGTCGCCACAGTCCACTGCCCTGTACATTCTTAGTTTCTGTTTTTATGACCCACGGCTACAAATATTATAATAGTCCCTTAAAACTGGTTTCTCTGCTTCAAGCCTATTCATCTGTGGAATTAACTCCTCTTGATTAAGACTTCGCAATGATTCCAGTTACTTAAGATGATATACAAATCTTTTCTCAAGGGACCTGCTACTTACTCCAACGTCATCTCCTGCTCTGTACTTGCCAGGGGCTGCAGTATCTACCCAAATTCATTAATTCATTAATTTGAACTTTCCTGACACATCAATTTGAGACAGCACACTATGCTCCTATGATAGGGCTGAATAGATTAGATATCAATATAAATATCCATATAGATACAAGTATAGATCTAGATATATACATAGATGAAGATATAGACATGTGAATGTGGATATAGACATAGACATTTTTAATCACCTCTGGTCAGTTCTTCTACTCATTCTTCTGAGCCAGTTCAAATGCACATCCTTGGTGAAGGGCTCCCTTTAATGCACAGAGAGGTGTTTTCCCACGTCTTCCTACAGAATCCTGAGTATCTCTCTCTTAAAGCACTTCGGACATCACATTTATACGTCTGGACTATAAGCTCCTTGAGAACAGATATGGTGCACCCAGGTATACACATGATCAGTAGTAAAAACATTTGTTAAAAGATTGTGTGAATTAAAAAGTGACAATTTGTATTAATTATTGTATTAATTTACCATGTGAAGACAACAAAATGTAATTTTACATACACCTCAAAATCTCAGATTAAGAATCCTGAAAATAAAAGCTCTTTTCAGAACTCTTTCCTTAAATACAAAGCCATTAAAAAATAAATACATAACATAAGAAAAATAAATCCCCAGAAAAGAAATAAAAGGAATAAAATATTTACTCATGTTAAGGACAATTCAAGCAACACTTAGAACACTTCTCTCTTATGCACTTTTTAATCTGTTAACTAATAAGTATATTCTCCATTAAGAAGGCTTTATTGTTGAGAATTTGACCTTTGTTAAAATCCAAATTGCTCTGAGAGTTAATAATCAGTTTTGAGTTTGTATGAACTTTGTAGAAGAGTTGAAGATGCTTATTTGAAAACTTTTTACAGGAAATAAATATAACACTGGTTTATGATGGAAGTAAAAGAATGTAA